TTGATTTAGGGGGTGGCGGAGATAGCCTGCAATTTCGATCTAATTTCGCCAAGTCCCATAAACTTTTATTCCCTCTTCGCTAGTGTGTGGCCATTGTGGTCATGGTTATGGTGCATTTCGCACGGTGCACCCCGCTCAATTTGAGCGATTTATATGCGTGGCGCGTTGCAAGCGAAGCGGACACACTGGAATTAGAGGGGGTGGCAACTACACTGCTAGAAACGTTTCCCAGGTGTTTGATCAAAAGTTTAAGGTATGTGAGTACTTTATAAGCTTTATATACACTTTAAATTTTATTATTTTAGCATGCTAACGAATGTTTCTTTTGGTAAAACAAAAAAAATATTTAAATGTTATAATATGCTTCTAGACATTTTACTTATTTAAAGATATAGTATGGTTTGCATAACTGGAGATCGAAGATTGATAGTTCTTGTTAAAAACAATTCTCAATTGAGGATTTAGTATAGCTTGATGCTAACTCAAAACTCCTCTTATTTATAGGGTCGTATCAATTTCAGTATTATATATATTTCTCCCAGTGTTTGAAAATGGGCAAACGAAATGGCAAGCCAAATGACCAAGTGCAGTGGAAACGGGGATAATGCAGCCGTGCAAGCCAGCACACACAAAAGCGAAGGAGCACACACACACACACACACGTACACACAAAGGTAGGCAGGGGAGTCGCCTCAATAAATAATATTTCTGGTGCGGCGCGGTGGCGAACGTTGAAAAGTTTGGGGCGACATCGCAGCCAGGATGTTCCAGGATGTGCGAGGATGTGCGAGGATGTGCGAGGATGTTCATGGCCCTGGGGCACGGCTCCTTATTTGCTCGACGCTCCCGTTCCCGTTGCCGTAGTGGTTCTTGTTTTTGTTTCTGTTTCTGTTTCTGCTTCTGCCTCTGTTTTTGCTTTTGTCACGTTTTTATGGCCAGATGCAGTGGCATGTTTCGCATAGCGTGTGCAACATAAATTCACTTACCTGTCGCACACACACACACACACACACACAAACATGTGGACACTCGGATGTGCGCGCTGCAGGTGCAGGACTCGTGTGTGTTTGCCAGCCTGGAAACCGTTGCCTGGTTTATGGAAATTAAGCGGGTCCTATATCCTCGCAAACGAGTTGAACGCCACTGCGATCGGGAATGCAGCAACATAGCTGCGTAAATTTAACCGAGGTCATTGCGAGAATGTTGCAAGCAAGGATAACTGGGAAATTCGCCAACCACAGTTGCAAAAATACGTGTTTGATTTAAAAATGTATTAAGAAATAAAAGCCAGCGCTTTAAGGAGAAGTAAATTGTGTCCTATCCAAAGAAAGTAGGAATTAAATATACACGATTGTGTGGAGGCTGCAACAACTTCTGTCGAAGGAGCTCAGCTCAGCTTGGCTTGAAATAGAGCCGCTCACTCGAATGCAATTGCCAGCACTCGTCGCATCGAGTTGATGGCTCCTTGAGTGTATGCTCCACTTCGGTGAGGCCGGAGCACAGGATGTCCCAGTTGTTTTTCGCCATTTGCCGAGCACAAGGCCACCGGCCCAGCAGCCACCAGCCAGCAGCCAGCAGCCACCAGCCAGCAGCCAGCAGCCATCCCAATATTTGGCCACAGCAAACATTTATTGCTCCAGCCCATTCTGAAAAGCGAGGAGTGGAAATCGCCATACAAATGTGGCGATCAATAAGGACAACAATGGCACACAGGAGCAGGAGCAGGAACAGCAACAGCAACAGAAACAGAAACCAAAACAGGAACAACAACGATGAGGGGCGACAATTGCAACGTGTCGAAGCGACGTTCATAGCATATTAGTTAAGCACACACACGAATGCACCTTGGCGCACGGGTCGTATGCGCAACGTTTTTCAACTCGCAGCTGCGTCGAGCCATATGCCAACAACCGGATTTCACACGCACACTCACTCAAAGGCTCCACAGAAGAAACCAAAAACAACACAAAAAAAGTTTAGAGGGGGGCGAAATAAATTGATTCCCTCCCGAACACGGCTAAAAATGTCATCGGAATTATTCAGCAAAGCGATTGGTTTGCGCAAATAGCGCTTGTTGATGGAAATCAACTTGAAATCCCATAATTAAAATTGAATTTCAGGAACGTAAAAAAGTGTGTTATGCTCCACATATTGCACTTCAAGCTGTGAAAGTGAAACACCAATAACCTCTTTTTGTTTGGTAGTAAAAAAATTATCTGTGCCATTAAATGATTATATCGAAAATATATGCGTGTTTTCTCAAATAACTTTTTTTATTACATTTTTTGAGCATCGTTGGTGGCAGAACTGCATAGTCCACTAAAAAATACATATAATTGACCTGTATTTCGGGATGTTTTCTATTAAATGATACCTATTTTCCGCTGTGCAGCAAACAGAACTCATAGTCGCTAGCAAATGGACCGTTTCTCTATGGCAGCCATAACTCTGATCCCCACTCCTTGCATTGTTACATCGAAGGATGGAGGCTTTCGCAGTCGAGTGCGGAGCAGAAGTGGTCCAATTACCGAGGAAACTCAAGTTCAGCTTGCCAGCTGCTGCGGTCAATTAATGAGCACTGCCCCTGTCGAAATCGAGACCTCCGAGCGCATCGGATTTGCCCAAGCAGCTCAGTCACTAGTCACTTTGAATTGCTCGGGGGACATCGTCCGGGAAACGGATTGTTGCTAAACAATCGAGATTATCGAACGGCGGGGGGAAGGGGGAAGGGGCAAGCGGGTTGATTGCAACACTCGAAACTCTGAAAGGCTTTGATAAGTCAGACAGAGAGCTGCAGTTGCCGAGGGGAATTCTCGATGGGCAAACTGACAAGTGAAGGAGCCGAGAATTTATTCCACGAAATTAGCATTTATGCACAATTGATGCGCTGTTTCTCGGGCAACTCAGTCAGAGCCGCCAAGGAGTTGTTAATTGGTGGCAAATCCTAGTTTTGTTAACGCTTTAAAGTGCACAAACATTTGTTAAGCTTCACCATGAAACAATTGAGTTTCTGCAATCAAGTTCCTTATTTTCTTCTTAACAACCTTTACTCTATTTCCAATTTAGAAAACGCAGTGAATGCGACCTTTTACAACTAGCGTAAATTTGTCCCCTTTTTATTGCAACTGAAGCTATTGCTTTAAATGGGTTTTTTATGTTAACAGAGACATGTGCTCATAAAATAGTTTTCTTGAGCACGATTTCCCATGCATTTTAGGGGCAATGACTGTCTGTGAGTGGTAACCCCAATAAGTCATTTGCCGTCAAGCCAAAGGAAATGCTGGTTCGCTATCTTTTCTTTTTTTGGGTGTCGGGTGTCGGTCGATCGGGAAAGGAGTTGCGGGATTGAAAACTAATTAGTGACAAGCCAGTGCAGCCATCAAGCTAATGCAATCAGAATGAAGGGAGCAGAAAGGGGAGAGGACTAGAGTAAATACACTTCGATTAACGCTAAATTAGCTCTCGCTGAACAGGACGGATCGAACAAAGCCCGAGTTGTCGATGGTCGATGATGAGGAGGAGGAATGGAGGGGGACTCGCAGGATGGCAGGCAGGATGATGACGCCGACGATGATGATGAGAGAGCGATGACGACAGCAGCCATTCTGGGCGATGGGCAATCATGTTGGTGGGACTGTAGTGGGTGGCTTTTGGACAGGCACCCACTCATCTTTCTTCTGGCTCTTTGTGCATTGTCAGCCCCATTTGGCCATGGAGATGGCGTGGCGTCGAATGCATTTGGCTATGATTCACAACACAAAAGATGCAGCGGCTTGCGGGGAGGGGGTGGGGATAAAAGGCGGTTTGGAGGGAAGGAGGGGGTGGGAGAAAAACTTGTGGGTAGCGGATAAATAGATGTATAAGCGGGTTCTATCTATACAGAGTGCCCACCCCTCTATGTGTCTGGCAATTTGCTAGGCGCTTGCCTCGTTCAAGCTGACAAAACAAGTCCCTGACCCCAAAAAGTAGGCAACAAAAAGCGTTGGCTGCTTTGTCAGCTTCCAGTGAACACTCCCCCCTATTCCTCCAATATCCAATCTCCCATCCCCCCCCTCAATCCAGCCATCCCCCTCGCCGTCCGCACACCCACGGGCTATGCTAATAACCAATATTTTAGAGCCAAGCCGCCGTCTGCCGTTGAAATTGTCGCCGGCAACAAAGGCAACACAAAACACTCGGCGAGCGGAGGGGCGGAAAAAACAAACTTTTCACAGATAGCTGAATCATGCCGCAGACAAAGGATATGTGGGGATGTGCTGCGCAAGGAAGTCGAGGATGGGGCAGACGAGTACAAGGCATTAATTTAACAGGATAATTGAAAATGAATAGTTGCATGTGGCAAGACGTGGCGCTCAAAGCCGAGACAACATCCGGCCATGCGACAAATCAATGCGGAACCAGGAAGGGACCGAAGATAATAATTTAGGGGGAATTTCCCCTGAGCCAAGCGGGCATTTCCCGATTTCCCCAAGCCAACCGACCACTGCACCGATTTAACGAGCAGCTGAGGCTTTAAGGGTTTTATTTATGCCATTGATCGAAATTATTCATGGCTCATTCACGAAAGTTCGGTTCATTATGCGGAGACCATAAAAACTATAGATATTGGACAACTCATTTGCGGGGAAATCGCTTTACGAACGGGGATAAAAAGGTTGCTGCCGTCGTATGCGGAAAATCCTAAAAGGCTAATTAAATTCCTTTCCTCTGGAAAGTATTTTAAATATGCTGATGAAGTAAACAAATTTATTTTGTATCTGGAGGTATAAATATTTGTTTGGTAAAATATTTTGCAATAAAATATACAATATCAAAAACAGGGCAAAATAATTCAAACTTAAACTTACTGTAATGTTGATAACAATAACTTTTAAAGGGTTTATAAAACTTGTAGTAAAAACAAAGTTTTGATACCCTTTTTAATTAATGTGTAAGTCCTCACAGAATAAATTTAAAATTTTCGTTCATAAGTACACACTAAAATATTGAGTATAGCTTACCTTTAGCCACAAGCTCATATGCTTGGTGGTCAATAGAATTGTTGCCTGGGTCTGCGATTTCGATGAGATTATTCGGTTTAGATTTGGGTTGTTGGTTTGTGTGATTCGTGTTTGGATTTTTAGTTTAAAGAGAATTTTACATTAGGAATTGGTGATTAGACACACTTTAGGCTTGGATAAATACTTTAAGATTGGGTTAGGGTTTCGATTTTTATTGCTGTTTGTTTGTTTGTTTGTCTGGTAGCTGTTGTTTCTGTTCAGTTTTGGCTTCTGGCTTGCCAATTCCGAATCCCAGCTCTGGTTCTTGGCCAGTTGGGGATTCGAGTACAACAAATTTGAACTTGGCAAACACAACGAACGAACGAACGAAGTAACGAACGCATCAAACGAACTGGGGAACTACGAGAAACGAGGAACGAAACGGAAATTATGTAACTTTACTGGACTAACGTACAATATGGTATAGTATAGTTTAGTATAGTATAGTACGATTATAGAGAATGTTTGGCTTGTAATTTCTGCGGCGGCTGATCCACCGATCGAACCAATCAACGTCGTCTGCGTTTGTGTGTGTGTGAGTGTGTGTGTGTGTTGCATGTGGCATTCTCAAATGATAAATGGCAAATCGATATAACCAGTAGCTGATGATTCGTTGGGGCATGCAGGTTCTCTAAGAAGCAGGCAAATCGAAAGTGTGTGCAGAAATTCAGGGGGGAGCAGGAGATCGGGAATGGGAAATGGGGAATGAGGAACGGGGTCTTATTTACAATCGGGGCTCCAGCCAATCAGGGGAAGTTTTTCGAGTGCCAACGCACAGGAACCATCTTGAGAACTTCACTTTTCAGATGCTTTTCTCAGTCGGTCTTCCCAATTTCAAAAGAGTTGAGGGGGAAAGTTTGTTTTGTTTGGCAGGCGAAGTTAACGGAGAGTGGGTAAAAGTTCAAGGCATGTTAACTAGACAGAACAAGAAAGACAGAGAGAGAGAGAGCGAGACAGAGTGAGAGTGAGAGAGAGAGAGAGAGGCAGACCGATAGTATGGTTATAGTATAGCTATATATGGAACGTAATAAAAGTGGTTTGAGAATGTGGTTTACTTATTTGTTGTCAAGAGTCTAGATCTAAGTGGCAAACATGGCAAGACAAGTCGGGAGTGGTTTTCGGGTTAGAGCTTTTGGCCCAGAGGTTCTATGGTTTCTAGGGATGCTATATGCACATATTACGGGAACGAACATCTAGTAATGCATTTGGTGGAGCTCACATTTTTTGACTGACGACATTTTGGACAAGTGGACACGGAATCTGGGCTCTGCCTTTCTTTCTTTCTTTGCTTTTTGCTTTTTAGTTTTTACTCTTGTTTTTTATTATTGCGAAGTGGTTCAGGTCGAGGCTGGTAGTTGGTGGTTGTGGTTCTTGGTACTTGGTTCTTGGTTCTTGGTGGTGGTGGTGGTAGTAGTGGTTGTGGTGGAAGTAGTTCTAGTGGTGGTGGGCGGTGGCATTAGCTTTAAACTAGCGGGCGAGCGGTGAGGCGGTGAGCGTGAGGCGGTGGTGGGTGCAACGTTTTTCAGCGGTTCGCAGTTCTCGGTTCTCAGTTCACTTATTGTCTTGGCTCTGCTTATGCAGCTTGATTGTCAGTTTTCATTCGTTTAAGCAACATAAAATGATTGCGAAATCAACACAGGATTCGAAAGGACCTGCTCCTGGGCCCGCTTAACTTCTAGCTCCGTGTTCTTTTTTTTTTTTTGCAGACAACACACAACTTAAAGGAACAACTGTAAGCGAGTGCCAATGACACCGGGAGGGGGAGGAGAGAGGATTTCGGGCGGGGGTGCTGGCACGGTGGTTTGTTGTATGGCTGCGATGACGTCGACGGCAAGTGGTTGAAGTGAAGTTTGGAGGGGAGCGGCAGGGCACGAGAAAAAAAAACAACCCTCCGCTTGACAGGCGCTGCTGACTCAGAGCGAGAAAGCTATAGCCACAGCACTTGCCAGGCAAACAAAAAAATTCTACACCAGAAATTAACCAAAGAAGACAAAATAAACACACACACACACACCGACACAGTCACAGACAGACAGGCTTACAGGACGGCGAGTCGGTAAACGGTTAACGGTTAACTTTAGGACAACTCAAAACAGGAAACGGAGATCGCGCAGAGTTGCAACCGAACAGCTGTAAGCAGCTCGCTTCACATGCAAATAACCAGCAGAGTACTATTCGTATATGTATATGGAGCATCGAGCATCGGGCAATGAGCGTGTGTTTGTGTCTCCTTCTCCTTCTCCTGCTCCTGTTTCCACGCTCATCAAACATACACACACACGCGCGCGCACACTCACACACGCACACTGGGAGCACAAGCACTGGAAAAAAAGTTTGTGACTGGGAGTGGGCAATCGAAGTGCCTGCGTACGCCTTGCGAACTCGTGACTCGTCGGCAGCGCGTTCGAAGAAGGACTAAACAGGACTAAGCCAGGCCAAACAGGACAAGCGACTGAGTGGTGCGAACGGGACGGCAGCGCAGGAGCGGAGAGGCAGTCCCGTTACGCGCCACGCTGTTAACCCAGCATGTTAAACTTAACCCTTGACTGCTGTCACATTTTATCCCATGTTACGACCTACGTAGACCACTATTTGCAAAGGATGTTTGTCCGTCTGTTTAACATCTTTATCTACGTGTACTGTTTAGGTTTACTTTTATTTCGTGTGACTGATGGGAATTTAATGTTGTGTGCCAAGTTCAGTGGTTCCCGGGTGCCAAGTTCAGTGGTTATCCTTGATGACAAGTTTACACTTTCTCTTTAGGCAACAAAATTTAAATTTAAACCTTTGTGACCATGAGTTTTCAAAAGTCGATTGCCTAACTCTATTTTTTGGATAGTAGATACCGATTTAGTACGAAGAATACAAGGATACCAGTTTGTAAAAAGGAATTCATTTCTCCTCGACCTGAGTGTTTTTGAAATAAATTTATTTAAGAAAACCTTTTAGTAGAGTAAATATATTTAATGAGTAAAATAATACATTTCTTGACCTTTTTGCTTGCTCAATTATATTGACTAAAGAAAAGGTGTTAAATACCAAAGTTAACAGAAGTTATGTTAACTTACAGAAGAGTCAACACAGAAAGAACGAGAGAGCGAAATAGAGAGCAAAAGCAAACGAGAGAGAACAAACGAGAGAGAGTGGCGCATGTGACGAGCGCGACAAGTGGCGGTCAATTCAAATTGGATTTTGATTCGAGCCTGGCAATGTCAATCGAAGGCAAAACAGCAATTGAAAATATTGACGTTTTGTTTGGATAGCCACACATTAACTGGCATCGACTTTTCGTGATATTTTCAATTATTCCCATCGAATAAACAAACAATATTAAATTTCATACTCTCCTCCCTTAACAGTCTACTGGAAAACATGTGACTATCAAGGGAAATTCGTTTTTCAGACTGGCAATGTTGTGCGGAGCGGACTTTTTGTCTGCAATATTTTGACATTTCGAAGGGCAAAAGAGCGATTGGGCGATTGCGATGGCAAGAGGGGTAAAATAATAATAAAATTTATAAATTGTGAGAGCCGTTTGTGCCTCGCTCGCTCTCTCCGCTCTTGGAAAAATGCGATTGCCAAAGACATGTTGCTACAATCGGTGGCTGTGTGCGTGTATGCTAAATTGTGGAGCATACTTAAGGGCGGACGCACTCGATTAATTAGCAAATTGAAGCTTCCCGACTTCGGCAGTTGGTCAAAGGCAATCGGAGTGGAAATCAGCGCAACTAGCAACTGTCAACTGTCAATAGGACGAGCACTTTACATAATAAGTACTCTCCCAGTCACAAACACACAGGAAATCAGGCACACACATACACACTCAAGCAAAGAAACACGTACTAACACGCTGGCAAATCGGGCGAACACGCGCGCGTTTATGGGCCGCAGACTTTTGGGGGAAATTAAATTTTAGTCCCCAATTGCAAAAAAAAAAAAAAAAGAAAAACATATATTTCAATTTAATTTCTAGCTTTTGCCACACTCGCGTAATATGCACGAATTTGCACACGGGCCTTGTTTATGATCGTATCTGAATTTATGCCTTTTTGGCGTGTTTGGGTGCGCACCGTATGGGGTAAACGAAGGGCTCCAAAGTCAGCGAACACACTGAAACTGAGCACACTCTGAAGTCATGGCTTTGACATTTGCAACGTGTTAACTTCGCGGGCAAGAGCATAACAGTCTAACACGGGAGAGACTCGGTGAACGAGAGAGAGGAATGCAGAGATTTCCTTGCGCAGGCGCACGAATTGGAATCGACATTGGGAATTCAACCCCTACGAACTGCTCAGCTGGTTGCAAGGGTGCAAATTGAAAGCTCCCTTTGTGGCCAACAGGAGGCGCCAGGCAAGCTTTTCCGAATTATGTTTTAAAGCTTTGCAGGATCTCTACAAAGCTCAGGTAAGCTCAGAGCACCACTATCGTTTTAAACCATCACCCATGGTTTGATTTTACATTTCTTATAACTTAATAAAATTATATGTTGCATTATTGAAATATATAATTTCATTCATTTTTATTAAGCTTTTGTTTTTTTTCGATTAAACCAGTCATTATTTATGATATGAGCACTCAAACAAAAAGCAACTATATTATTCCTGAAACGAGATAAATATAATATTAGGACGAGACTCTTATTAATGCAAGAGTCCTTAAAACTCACCCTGCAACGTGGCCAACTGCTCGGTGGTCATAACAACTGGTGTTAACAACTCGCTGTTGGGAGCTATTAAACTGGGATCGGCAATGGGGCCCATGTAGCATTTGCGCATCTTCAGGTACTGCATCCAGATATTCAGCCCATCTTCAGAAGGGTCCATGGGGGAGATATCCATCCCACCGGAGTTGCGGACATTAAGGTCTATATTGTTATCGTTAACGAACAGCTGGCGAGTGAGGTGGAAATAGCTGTTGTTGATATATATGTTCGGCTGGGCGGGCTTTTGCTCCTGAAAAAAATAAAGCAGATGTTTTGAAAGAAACTAAAACTATAAACTATGAACAGCAAGCGGAATGTATCGAAAGATTTCCCAATTCAACTTAATTCATTTAAGCAATGTCTTATGACTTATTATGACATTAAAGCCGTTTAAAAACTACAACTATCGAACGATTTGATAAGAGTTTCTTGAAATATTTAGTTGGACCCACATTTTATAATAAAATTAAGCTCTGACAGTTCCTCATAAAAAATAAAATATTAATTGAATGTGTACAAAACATGGTAAATGAATTAAAAGTGTAGCTATTGTAACCATTTAACCCGTAAATTTAAAACTGAAACTTAAGCTTTCTTGCTGTTTAACGAAAATACCATTTTTGCTCTTCTGAACGTACCTTTTCCTTAAACACGGATCGCATTAGGTTCCTGCTGATCAGGTGGATGTTGCAGTCACGCAGCTCCTTGATCATGCGCTCCAGGCCGAGATTCTTTTCAGTGAGCTCCTGCACCTCGCCGTCCAACTGGCGCTTGTACTCCTCCTGCAGCTGCAGGGTATCCTCCCACTCGCGATTGATGGAGCGAACGTCGCCGCTGTGATTGAGGGCCAGAGCCACAAAGCGCTGGCTCAAATACCGCTCAGATAACTCGGTCAACTTGAACAGGGCGTAGAGGAGCACTAAGGTGACCATGAAGTCGGTGTAGACGTCAAATGGGTTGCTGCAGTTCTCGTCAGCGTCCTTCTCCTGGCCCAAAAGCTCCATCTTCGCGGGTTCATCCCACTCCATGTTTTTTAGGGTATAGTTTTCCATTTTTAAATTGCCTGTGTTTAGAGAGTTTGAAAGTGGCAGTGACGGGGGAATCACTATTGAATTTTAACCAATGAAAGTCATTGCGGAACACTTTTATCACAGCCTGCTCCGCCTGGGGTTTTCTTTTTACAGGCCAAAGGAAACTAGATTAAATATGTTTTATATACATTTGTGTTTTTTCTTAAAATTTATTTGCACTGCGTAAATTTTTTAATTGCTTATTCAAGCTAAGAAGCCCACTTACGAAAATACATTAAAGTATTATAGAAATTTGTTATCGAGCATGACATTTTTAAGACTTCGCCTTCACTAACTAATTAAGTGTTATTAAATGTAGGTATTATTATATTAATAATACAAATATTTTTATAATATATTAATCACTGAGAAAAAGTGAAATTTTGCTACAATTTTAGTTTTCATGTTTTGAAACCTTTTTATGAAACTACGTAGGCGAGGATTCCAAGTGAAAACTAAGTAGGCGTGGATATATTCATTCACCTTTTTTGGAGCTTTGGTTTTCAGTTACAGCCGAGCTGCGAAGCAGTTACAACCAAAAAATATACAAAAAAAATACCTGAACCTACAATAACTGGTAAGACTGAAAAAAGTTGAATAACATGAGCAAATAACTTTCATCGATTACAAATTTATATATTGGTTCGGGTCTTTAGAGAGTTTGCAATTGGGTTGAAACAAAGCAGAACAACATGCAAATGAAAGCAAGTTTTGTTCCCCAGGGAGAAGAATGACGGTTCTCATCGCGGGGGAACATTATCTGTTCGATTTGTTTATTATGTTGCCTAGTATCAATCTCATTTCCGCATACTCCTCCCAGAGGACTTGGAGACTTCGGGACATTTCGAAAACGGCAATGGTTAGAAGAAAGTGAAATACATAAAGCAAACCTTTTAAAACTAGAATCCCCTTAGCTCAACTCGATGACACTTTATTGGACCAAAAGCAATACTGAAGTATTGAATAATTATTTTCTATTAATTCTCGACTGCTTTCGTCTATGTACAGAACAATGAGCTCATTTTCGCATAAAGCGGAAACGGCCTTTTTGTCGTGCCCTTGACCATGGTTCCAAAATTGTTCCATCAATTACACTCCATTTGTGGATTCTATCACAGTTCTTTCCAGAAGTTCAAAGACGGAGCAAACCGATTTTCCAGGAACGATCAACAGTAAAGGAGCAAATAAATGAGCACTTAATCAGAAAATAATGAAGGGCAAACACCTTCACACTTTTGCAAAGGAAATAAATTTATAAATTTGAACTTATAGAACTGTTTGCTAAATAAAGTCTTAAAAAAAACTGGTTAATTGTTTGCATGAAGTATATTTTACCGCAACTTCATTATAGCTTTGCAATTGTTTAATAATAACTTAACTGATGTCTTACTGCTTCTGTGTTCTCTGAGCGAATTCTTGTCACGCTCTCCAATGAGATCACGTGTGTCGAATGACGGGCACCGCAGCGATTTGTTTTGTTTCCAATTTGCCACTTCAGGGGGCAATAATGGCGAGGTCAGACTGGCACTTGGTTCTGTTGCAGCTGTGTCTGCTGGGAGCACCTGGCCGACCGGCGGTTGTCCAAGAGGTGAACCTCAAGCAGCGGAGTCGGGCGGGTTCCTCCCTGGAGGTTCAACCCCTGCACTACAACCTCAGTCTGCTGACCGAGGTGGAGGAGGCCGATCTGGGGGGAACCATTCGCGGCGTGGTCACCATTCGGGTTAAGGTGTGGCGCGAGACCCGCACCATTGTGCTCAGCTCAAAGGGCCTGAAGTTGGGCGCCAAAGTGTGGCTAATCCGGGTGAACACCGGCGGAAGGGTGACGGTGCGCAAGATCTGGCATGTGGTGCGCCTCAACCGACTCCACATCGTCTTCAACAGCCTCCTTTGGCTGGGCGAGGAGTACAATCTGACCCTCGAGTTCAGTCGGAAGCTGACCAGAACCACTGGTTACTTCGTGGGCAGCTACCTAGATGCCTCCCAGCGTCCGGAGTGGGTGTCGTTCACCCAGCTGTCGCCCAACCTGGCCAACACCGTCTTTCCCTGCTTCGAGGACCCCGGCCTCACCAGCCTCTTCGTCCTCAACTTGGCGCATCCGCGGAGCATGAAGGCCGTGAGCATCATGCGCGTGGAAAGGACTTCCGAGTGAGTATCATAGCATCTTATTCAACACAGAAATCTCATTCGACTAAATCCAACTTGAGTTGGTTGTTCACACACTCACTCCATAAACATTTCTGTAGGAAAAAAGGCAATTTGCATGCCCATTAATTGTGCAGAATTATTTAATTGTTCGATCAGATTGATTATAAACCATTTCGCCACTAAACGATTTAAATTTCTAAAGCGCTTTGACCGATTTGTATTACTTTATGATACAATTCAGATGCAAAATATTTACCTAACAAAGATTTGTATGCTAAATGTGACACACTTGTTATTTGATTAATGTATTATCACCATTTTCTTGGCAGCCATGAAAGGGATGACTACATGTGGACCAGCTTCTACCAGACCCCGCCGATGTCCGTCCAGAAGCTGGCCTTCTCCATCAATCGCTTCACTGAGCGGAGCTCTCCGCGAATACCAAACTGTCCGGAGCTGACGACCTGGATGCGACCAGAGGTTGCGGATCAGGGGCAGTACGCCATCCGCATCGCGCCCGGGATAATCGTCTACTTTATAGGTCTGTTCGGCAAGCCCTATCCCTCGGATAAGATCGACCAGCTGATTCTACCGGACAGCGCTTACAAGGTAACCAGTCCGGTTTCTTATTTATTTTGCGGGGAAGGTTCACAGAAATCTCTGGAGATTTGAAATCTATCAACAGTTGTTTAAAAAAATATATAAATCTTTTGATTCTTCCCAACAAATATTATACCACAACTTAAGCCCTTCTGTTGAGAGGTTCTAAAGTTCTGGAGAATCAGTGTCACTCCTCTATAAACTAAGTTTTCAGGAGCACACCACTAAGGTAACTTCTTTGTTATTTCCTATGCCATATTTATCTAAGAGCCACGAGCACGTGGGATTGGTTAGCTACCCGGAGGCAACGTTCCTCTACAGCGAGAAGGACTCAACGGCGAAGGCCAAACAGGATGTGGCCAGCCATCTGGCCCACGAGTTCGCCCACCACTGGTTCTCGGACCTGGAGACCCCGGACCTCCGCTGGCTGCACTACGGCCTGTCCAACTACCTGGCCGGATTCGCTGTGGACAAAGTGGAGCCCGATTGGCGGCTCCATGAGCTGTCCATGCTGCAGCAGGCGTTCGCCGTCCTCGAACAGGACTCCATGGCCAACGCCCAACCAGTGAGCTTCGCCAGCGGTTCACAGTCCTCCTCAATTGGTGTTCAGGCCTACCACAAGTCCGCCCTACTCTTCCGGATGCTTCACTCGCTCATCGGCACTCAGGTTGGTAATAATCTAGCATTTCTTTCACAAATGAGAGAACAATTTTTAGAGGTTTGAGAACACCAATATTGGTGCTTAAAAGTATGCTACATCATTTTTAAAGTAATCATACGCACAGTTGCTGAAGAGACGTTCATAGTTTCATTATCAGATTGACCCAAACCCTATCAACATTTTATGGGTACCTCCAGTAAATTAAAGAACACTAAGCAATTGGGTTCCAATAAAGTTCCGGTTTTAACGGTTTAAAAGGAACTATAATTTTGATTACAATCTGAAGGTCTGTACAGATCCGCTTTTTAATTACACATTATATGAAGGTTTATTATTGGCGACAAATCGAAAAGCACTTTTGCTAGCAACTATTCAGTACTCGATTAGATTACAATGATGTCTTACCTCCAAATAAATTCTTATCCAGGTGTTTGTGGCCTCGATGCGTCTCTACTTCCGCCGCGTCCAGAAGGGAGCCTCGAACCAGTCGCTCCTGTGGAAGACGTTTCAGGAGGAGGCCGACCGCCAGATGAGCCTGCGCCAGGACGTCCTAGTCAGCCAGCTGATGGACTCGTGGACGATGCAGCCGGGCTATCCGCTGATCCAGGTGGTGCGCAACTACGAGGAGCAACTGGTGACCGTCACCCAGGAGCGATTTCTGCGCAATCCGAGCCTCGCCAACGGAAGGCGATCGCCGAACCTCCGGCACTGCTGGTATGTACCGCTCACCTTTACCTCGGCGGGACGCGGCAGCTTCGTGTCCACGCTGCCCAGCGAGTGGCTCACCTGCCGCCCCAACCAGCCCCCCCGCCCACTGCTCCTCAAGGAGGTGGCCAAACCGGACGAGTGGGTGGTCTTCAACCTGCGCAGGACAACGCCCTGCCGCATCAACTACGACGAGCGCAACTGGCAGCTGATCAGCGAGGCACTCGCCGGCGAGAATCCCAACAGCATCGATCGATTCACGCGTGCCCAGCTGATCGGTGACATGCTCAGCCTGGCCAACGCCGGGGTCGTGACCTATGACCTCGCCCTGGACTTCCTGCGTCACCTGCACCGCGAGGACGAGTACATCGTGTGGAAGGCGGTGGCCCGGCATCTCGAGTGGCTCTACCACACGCTGAACAACACACCTATATTCTCCGTTTATAAGGTGAGGCGATAGGGGAACATAGGGGTGCTTCGCAGGAAAAAATTATAAGAATTAATCTATTTTTTATGAAAACATAACAGTAACAGTTTACTGGTTTAAAGTAGAATCAATTTCCGTTTAAGGTATGTTGTTTACCTTTTATACGAATTTTACATATTTTTAGATTTTATACAAATAATTGCAGACCCATTCATTATTTTAAGTTTAAAAAATTAACATCAATTAGCTTGACTTATCAAAAAGATACATACCTGTACAACTTTCTATACCAGTTTTTAAAATATCTTAACGGATTGACAAGAGGTTCTCCGAACTAAAATTAATATTTTTGTATTTACTTTAATCTTTTCACCAAAGCAAGGGTTTCAAGAAAGCTTTATGAATGTAAATCAGGTCGTTAAGTCCCTAGAAAAATAAAAGCTCTCAAAGAAAATTATTAAAACTAAATGTGAGATAGGTGGCGCTAAACAGCCGTTTGAAGACATCTAATCTCATTTTAATGCTAAACTGAAATAAGATTCAGGTTAAACACACCTGACTTAAAAAAATAACAATAGAAATAAAAGAAAACAAGAAAGGAAGCTAGCTTCGGAAAGCCGAAGCTTATATACCCTTGCAGTCATCAAATCTTTCGAACAGAATACACAAAGGCTAAAGAATATCGAAGCTACGACGACTTTTCTATCAGTTTTCCATATTTTGACTATTGTTCATATGGCAGCTGTATGATATAGTTGTCCGATTTTGATGAATTTTTTTTTATAAATCAAGGCTAGTTTAAAAACTTGATACTCAAAAAATCATGCTCGTGGGATAAAAAACAACGATGCTATCAATTTATTTCCATTAATTCTATATATATTTTTCGATCTCTCCTATGGCAGCTATATGATAGAGTTATCCGATTTTGTTCAAATTTAATACGAAATTCAATAACACTTAGAAAGCGCCATCTTGAAGAAATTAAGTCGATCTGATCAAAAACAACGGCGTGAAAATTTTTTATTTCATTCTCTCGTATAGGAGCTATCCGATATAGTCGGCCGATCCGGCCCGTTCCGACTTATATACTGCGTGCAATAACTACACACCTTTTGGGAAAGTTTCAGCAAGATAGCTTTAAAACTGAGAGACTAGTTTGCGCGGAAACGGACAGACGGACAGACGGACAGATGGACAGACGGACAGACGGACAGACGGACATACGTACATACATATTTCGATTCAGATGGTGATGCTGATCAAGAATATATATACTTTATGGGGTCTGAGGTGTCTCCTTCACTGCGTTGCAAACTTCTGACTGAAATTATAATACCCTTTTGCTCTGCAAGGGTATAAAGATCACTTTAAATTGTTTCGAAAATTATACAAGAGAAGGATAATTCTAGCAGCGGTTAAAAATTGCTTAAAGCTTTAGATCAGGGGTGCTCAACGCCTATGCACCGAGTGCACTTTTGTTTTTGTAGAGCTCTGTGCTTATGGGTAGTGCGCCCATAAGCACCGTGCATATGGGCTTCGATTTGCATGCGAAACAAAAACAATTTTGCTTGTTTCTTCATTACATCTCTGTCCGTCGTCACGCTTATCTGATCGCAATGTATTTTGTTTTTGTTTTTTCCTCGAGCACATGCACTGAAACTTATCTTTCTGTCTGCGTTGGCTTTTGATTTATTTCGGGGTTGACCATCGTAAGTGTTATGTTAAATTTTTTGGCGGATCAAAATGAGTGATGAATTAGAGAGCAGTTTTTTTTAGCATAAACTTTAAATGCGAAGTACAATGCTTAATATGCTTCGTAGTTCTGGAGGTAAACACCAAATACATTCTCTATAGGCATTTTTCTCTCAGTGCACAGCTGCACCCCAACACAAACGCGCCGCTACATATGTACACGTTTTCTTGTGGATGTGTTAGTAAACGCACTGCCATAAGACGATCTTGAGCACCCCTGCTTTAGATGATGGTATATTAAGCCGATTAGAATGAATTATAAAATTATTCTGATTATACATAAGAGTAACTAACAGATTTGTCTTTTTCGGTTCAGGATAATTCTTTGGTTATATACGTCCCCTCAGCTATCTTTGCATACACTTCATACACTCAAAGTGCCCAAATTAGTTTTTTTAGATTTGAATATTAAATCTGTGATTAAACCTTTGGTTTTGCAGAGTTTCATGAGAGGCATCCTGCAGCCGAAGTTCAAGGAGCTGTTCATGCCGAAGGACAACTCCGACGCAAAAGGAAACACAACGACTTTAAAGGGAATTGTCCTTCAACTGGCCTGCCAAATGGACCTCGGACTCTGTGCGAACCTGGCCCTCAAGGAGTTCGGAGGCATAAACCTGGGCAGCAACCGCATTCCGGTGGACCAGCGCGGGACCATCTACTGCACCGCCATTCGACTGGGAACCGAGGCCGATTGGACCTTACTTCGGACACTGTACAAGCGATCGAATGTCATCGAGGAGCGGAGAATGATCCTCAGTGCGCTGGCCTGCAGTCGGGAATCCTGGGCACTGGACAAGTTGCTCGGCCTGGCTTTCCGCAGTCGCTTCATGCCCAAGGCTGATGTACTGCTGATCTTTAAGGCAGTGTCCCAGAATTCTCTGGGTCTTGTCCTGGCCAAAAGATACCTGATGGATAACATCAAGGCCATTATTAAATTGTAAGCACTCTTTAGTTGAGTTTTAGCTCCTAGTTGGTAAAAACAATTTGATTCTTTGCAGGTACGGCAACAGCACCAACGAGCTGGCCCAGTTCATCAATGTCCTCATGGAGGAGATCACCACGGAGGCAGAGCTCGAGGTTTTGCGAAAGTTCATCAAAGAGGAGCTGAAGGATCTGCCGGGCATTGAGGTCACATCTCGACGAATGCTGGATTTGGGCAACGAGAACGTGGCCTGGCACAAACATCACTACCTCCGAGTGGTTTCTGCTGTCTGTAATATCACCGGGTCCATGGAACCCCAGTGCCTCTACTAGAAGAGCCATCTTAATATACTAAATCGAAGTTGTATTCTACCAAAAACCTCAAATGAGCGTATTTGAGGTGTATTACAACAAGAAAGCTGACTTTGGGGAACCGAAACCCTTGCTGTTAGAATTAAGTCTATACAACAACTACTCTCATCAAAAATCTATGGTTACAAAGTTTTTTTTATTGTTAGTTCGATCCTTTAAACACCACCAATAAGGTGTACTGTATTGTAAGTCCCAAGGCATACAAATTTTCCAAGCTACAGCAGCTAAATGATAAGTCAAAATAAGAGTAAATTATCTATTCTTTTAACTTTCCTTTTGTTCCTATTAAAGTTATATGATATAGCCTTCCAAGTATTATTTTAACAATCAACTCTGCAATATTCAAGGGGGCTCTAATAAAATTAAAAAAAAATAATAATTTTGAAAATTTGAAAAAGCTGGAATGCAACTTTTTTTATTCCAAAAACAGGAAAGTTGAATTCCTGTTGAAAAAAAATGTTTGCAAAAATTTCATGGGGGATTTCCAAAACCAAGAAAAATTATTTTCAAAATCTTAAGGAAAAATGATTCCCGATGTTGCCCAAACCACTAACGCACCCCTCGGAGTCAACATTTCACTTGCCCAGATAAAGTTATCACCGATCTATTGTAGAACGTACTAGTACAGGGCTAAGGTAGCACCACTTTCAACACTCTTCCGAAGCCGAAAAACCCAAACGAAAAAGCACGAAAGCTTCGGTTTGGTGAGAAGACGACGTTCGAGGTGCTGACGCAGCAACCTAAAAGCGGGACGAAGCGACGATCCGGATAGGAGTGAGATTAGTGATAACCCCTCTTATCGGGAGCAGTGAAGCCCAGGAACCTTGCTGGCGAAATACTGGGCATTTGAAATAAAACCGAATGCAATGATTTTGTTTAGTTTTTCATTTATTTTGTAACGTTTTCGTTTAATTGCTATTTAACTTAGAATTCGCCATAATCTAAATGGTTTTTACTTCACTTTAATTTACTATATAAAAATACGCACAAAACTATTGCAATGGAAGCATAAATAGGCATGTTTCAGCATTAACAAAATTCATGTACAGTTGTGTTGATTTCTAGTTGGTTTTGTCTTTTTCGTTGTTTTTTTTTTCAATTTTTTTGTTTGTTGTTTCCAAGGCGGATATCTATAAAATATTATGGTATATGGTTATATAAATAACGAACAAAGTATATTTAAATAGTGTTTATTTCAACTGGCATTACATTTCTTGTTCTTCTTTGTTTATCGATCATTCAAGAGTAGTCTCAAATTATCGTTCACCACATTCAGTTTTGTTTGCTTATTTTTTCTTAGGAGGAAGACGACTTGGATAAGTATTAAGTATAAGTTTTTATTCCGATAAGGCCACACATGCTTCTTGCGGGGCACAGTTTTTTGTTTTTGTTTTTCTTTGTTTGTTGTACAAAGGGAAGAACGTGTTTAAAAAAAATAATAATAATGAAAGCTCAAGTTTAAGTTGGAGTTTTTTTTTTTTTTAATTAAAAAGAGCAAAAAAAAACAGTATATATTATTTGTAAATTAAATATATAGGCATTATAGTACACCTTTGCACGCTGCCGTCACTCTTCGTTCTGATCAATTCCGATTTCAACGAATCGAGTTTTGGGTAGTGGAAGTAAAATCAAATCGAAAGTATAATAAAATAGACTTTATAAATTAATAATAAATAATTTATATGCCCTTTGCACTCTGTATCTGCGTTTTCTTTTCCATTTTCACAAGACTATACATAATTTGTGTTCGTGTATACATAATTTATATATAATATTAATGATAAGGCACTTTGAGAATTATATACCCCCCTCGTGCGCGGTGCACACAAATTGATAAACACGAGTGGAATTTGCTCTTCCCGCCCGATTATTGGTTTAAGTCATGCTTAAATTTGTTGCTGCTGTTGTTGTTAATGTTTTTGTTATTGTTGTTGCTGCTGCTGCTGTTGTTGGACATTACATAAATATAAAACGCCGAGTGAAAAGGTGGTAATAATAAATAGAAGTGTTTAAATATTTCATTTAGTTTGATTTGAATTGCACTCCGGCAATTATCAGTTTTAAATAGTTTGCACAAAAATAAAGGTACTATTGGTGTGGGGTAATGTCGCTGTTTACATATTATATAGTTTGTATAGGGCAAAAATTACGTACAAAAATAATTTAAATATTTCCTTAAGTTTTGCGCATTTGCTTTGCGTTTTGTATTTTGTTTGCTCAGTTTTTCTCACTTAATTTTACGTTTCTAACACTGTACTCAGTTTGTTTTTGCTTTGTTTTCTCCGCTTATCGGCCTTTTCTGATTGCTTTTATAATTTCCAACACATACAAAGATCGACAATCGGTTATTCCTACATAAATAGTTTAAATAGGCTTTTTTTGTTAAGGCATTTCCTTTGATTTTTTTCCATTTTTATTACATGTACATGTACTTCATAATCATCGGCGTAAGCATAATAATTATAATGTGGTTTTATAAGTTGTATATAAATTAAGGGCTTCCTCTCATAACACTAAAAATTATATAACTGCACCCAAAAAAAGAAGAAATCAAGAAAAAGTTGTAAAATAAATTAAATAAAAATAATATATAATAAACAAAATGATCTGTTGCATATACCATATAAAAAACATAAAATTATCAATGGTCAAAAAATGTGTGTGTCTGTGTGTGTGTGTGTGTCGAATGTGTTGTTTTCATAAATTATTAACATTAATTGCATATAAGATAGATCTGGTATGTTTTATGTAAATAGATGTGAAAATAAATTATGGTGTTAAAAAATCAGCATTTCCATTTCATATATATCGATTTTAAAAAGTACACAGAATCGTAGTCGTCGTTCAAACAAAAAAAAATCAAGTAAAGTCAATGACAGAATTTCATAATTAACTTATCTTCTCGAAGACAAAATATTGTTTGTTGCTCGTGGGTTTCTAGTTGGTGTTTGCTTGTTGTGATTGTTTGCACGATTTGCAGAGGTATATCATCAATAATATTTATATCTTTCAAGATCATCATCATCATATAACCGTAATCGTAATATAATTGGTAAATATAATTTATAAACGTTATATCAAAATATTAACTCTCGTATATACAAAACGTTCTCTATTACATAAATTTAGCAAAAAATAATAAATTAAAAAATTTCCTTTAGCTCCGTTTCTTTCTGTCCGTCTAACATATTATCGTCATCTGGATTGATTGATTGATTTATTGGCTTGGCTTGGATTGGAAGACATCGGACCAACTCCTCTCTACTCTCTCTCTCTTTCTCTTTCTCTTTCTTTCTCTCTCCATCCATTGCAAGTATCAAGGGATATATACAGGTGCTGCTGCCATATGTTTGTATATAAACCGATAATCAATTCCTACATACGACTAATCCAAAGTGCGTGGCGTATAAATATTGAACAAAAGCGATAGGTGTGTGCGAAAGGTTTCTAATTGGTGCACTGCAGTAGGTCCTATAAATGCAGGAACGAATAATCACGTTCGTCGTTGGCCATTTGTTGATTTCGATTTGAGCAACATTCGCTGAAGATTCCCAAAAAAAAAACAAAAAAAAACTCCGATTCGTCCGTATCCCCTTCTTGTCGTCCAATTTCCTTTCCTTTCTCTAGAATGTTTCGTTTAACTTTCACTTTTTTAGCTTTTAGTTTTTAGTGTTTAGTTTAAGATCATAGTTTGCTTGGATTGTTGGTTTGTCATTTACGTATCTATCTACCTAATCGTCCCGTTTTTTTTTTCTTTTGCGGCTCGATCCTTCTCAAATATAACGATATATAACGATTGACTGTCACAGCATGAGAGAAATCATATCAAAGTTCGTTTCACAATTTGGGGGAGGGATTGTGTGTTTAGGTTTAGGTTTAGGTTTTCTTGGCAGTGGCCTGTCTTTTCGGTGGCGTATACTTGATATACACTTTTGCTGCCCCAAAAATCCAGTTGCCCTGTTGTGTTTTTTGTGTTTAGGAATTTTTTGTTGGATTTGGATTGCGCGAGTTTGTTCCAGTTACCAGTTTCCATTGGGCTGGTCGTTACTGAGATTTTGTCAAGGATGCTGTTCTTAATGGAGGGATGCTTTGATGGGTGTGATGGGTGGTTTGAATGGCTGATAGGGTGCTGGTGGTGGTGCTGGGTGGTGGCTTGGCTCGTGGCTCGTGGTTCGTGGACCGAGCTCTGCTTAGAGTCCCAGGTTGGACTGCTGCTGGTAGGCCTCCACCGCGGAGCTCAGCCGATTGAACACCGGCAGCCTGGGCGTCTCCTCCTGCTGCATCGGCGTGCTGATGCTCTTCTGCAGCATCTGCTTGCCACCGTTTCCCGATCCTCCGCTAACCACATCGTACGGTGGCGGCGTGTGAACCGGCGAAATCGGTACATTGGGACTCTCGGGCGGCGTGGCCGGTCCATGATGGTTCATCCCCATGCCCTGCTGTCCCATGCCCATGCCAATGCCCATGCCCATGCCCATGGTCATGGTCATGCCGAGACCCAATCCCGAGGCCGAGGACGTGGACGAGGCGGAGCTGTTGCTGGTGCCGCCATTGGAGGCCAGGTAGCCCTGCTGCAGCGGCAAGGCGTCGTGGAACGGGAAGCTGGTCAGCGAGTTGGTGGGACTGAGCGACAGCGATCCGGTGGGCGATTCCCGGTCTGATCCTGTGCTCATGCTCAGCGGTGGACTTAGCGGCAAGTAGAACTGGCTGCTGCTGTTGTTGCTACTGTTGTTGTTGTTGTTGTTGCCATTGCTGTTGTTGTTGCCATTGCTGCTGTTGCTGCTGTGATTGCTGCTGTTGCTGCTGCTGGTGCTGCTGCTGCTGCTGTTGCTCTGGTTGCTCTTCGGCGGGAAGTTCGGCGACGATTGCTGCTGCTGCTGCTGCGACTGCGATTGGGTTTGCTGCTGCTGCTGCTGCGACTGGGAGGAGGACTTGGCCGCCTGGGCAGCCTGCTGGGCACGGGCCTCGTCCGCATTGTGCACGAAGTGACAGCGCGGCCCGTAGGGACAGAAGCCGACGCTGTGGAAGGTGCGACAGTACTCCGTCTTGTACTTCGGGTGGCGCTGCAGGTTGCGCAGCTCGTGGTAGCCATGGGCGAACTGGCACTTCTCTCCGTACTTGCACTCGCCGGCCTCCTCGAACGGACGGCACAGCTCCGTCTTGTACCTGGAGAGCCAATAAAAGAGCAATTAGCCAAAGGTCTTTTAAACTGATTATCTTATACTATTTTTGCCCACGTTGCCCTTTAAATGCTTACTTTAAATTTATGGCTTTTTTATCACACATTTTATTGTCTTCCAGTTTCTGGTTTTCGGAATCTGTTCACCTGTTTTTGTTTCATGTGTACTGAGTTTAATTAAAACGTAAATATCCTACAGCAAAAAAAAAATTTAACAACGGCATCAAAAAGAACATTACAAAATCGTAAATAGCTTTTAAGCAAAAGTTTTAAGTTCCGGTAAATGCAAATGAAATTATGTACAACATTCTTCTAAACACAAATGTCAAAGACCGTCATTGTATGTAATCAATATTTCAACATTTCTGTTAAATAAAATGACTGATTGTTGCTGAAGGACATTAAAAAAAAACTAGTTAAGACTGTAAATGCAGATGAAGATTTGGCTGCCTGATTATTTAGTCTTTTGTTTTGACTAAAAGCTAAATTCTTTATGATAAAATAAAGGTATGGTTCCCTGATTATAATTTTATTTATTTAAAAATCAACGGATATTTTTGGTTAAATAATGATTGATCTTTTAAAAGTTAACTATTCGTTTTGGTTAAATGGTGATTGATCTTTTAAAAGTTCACAAAGCAGTAACAAAAATGCACTGTGGTTGCACTCAGATCCCATTGAAGTATCAGTTTGTCTAGGCGATTGCTCCAACCTTTTGGTGCACCAAGTCCTGACAGGTTTTCCCCCTTAGTTTCGTGGGTATTCTTCTTACCTGGAAGTGTTCATCGGCTGCTGGGGCAGTGGCTCCGACTGCGTCCGCTCCAGCTTGCGGTGTAGGTTCATGTTGCCCAGGCTCTCCATGATGGTCACCAGGCTGGCCACCGGTTGCTGTTGCTGCTGCTGCTGCTGCTGTTGCTGTTGCTGCTGCTGCTGTTGCTGTTGCTGAATGAGCTGATGCCGCTGCTGGGCCGGCTGTGAAATGGTGCGTGTGAGGGCGCCATGGAGGCGATGTGGCTGCTGCTGATGTTGCTGATCCATGCTGCTGCTGTCCAGGACGAGCTCCACTTGCTGCTGCTGCTGCTGTTGCTGCTGGAGATGATCGCGATCACGGTCGCTGGCCACCTGTGAATGCAGAAGGCGAAAAACCAAAATCAATTTCTGTGTCTCTCGGGCGTATACGTAACGTATAACGAGCGAATATTTCGCAAAAATCCAAAAAAAGAGAGGAGAGGACGTAAAAAGAAGCGTGCCGCCGACACAAAAACAAAAAAAATACAGAAAAAGAAAAAGAAACAAAGCCAAAAATCAAAAGCAGCACAAAGCCAAAAGCCAAGCTCACTTTTACTTTTAACTTGACCTATAAGCAAAAACAGAAAAAACCCAACCAAGACAGCAACAACAAACAGCAGAGAGCTAGACGACGACGACGACTGAGAAATATTGCAAAAGGCACACAAAAATGTTATAATTTTCCAGACATTAAACACAAGCGCCAAGAAAAACCAGCTACCTCTCTTTTTTTCAGCTCCCCACTTCGAGCCCCCCACTTTGTTTTACCACACCACTCAGCGCTGTTACCAGTCTTTTAAAACCCCCCCTTTTCGTGTCGTCATCAGTTTCGGTTTTGTTTCTTTTTTTGGGAACGCAACGTCCGACTTGGCCTGTTCATTTTCGTGCGATGCTGTAACATGTTATGCAACCAGTTAACACACACAGACACAGAGCGCACAGTAACAGGCAGACACGCACACTCGGACACTTAGCCCACTCCATCAAGCGTGGCCAAAACTAACAACAACCACTACCAATTACATATGTATAGAGCTCAAGTTCAAGCCAACAACACGAAAGGCAAGCAGAAAAGCTGAGGCTCAAAAAACCGAACCGAAGCTCAAAAGCCGGAGCTACGAAAAAGACAACAACAAGATTTTGGGGCCCCAACCAGTAATCAAATCGTACGTCCCCCCCATCGTAAGCCCCCTTTATGAGGCCCCCCCTTCGTAAAACTCAACTCAATTTGCCACTCTCCGCAGACGAAAAACTGGTTGGCTTGCTCAACAAGTGCGAAAGAAAAGGAGATATAGAGGGTGTGAGGCGACGCCGAGTGAGAGGAAGAAGGACAGCACGAGTCGGTGGCGCATGCGCACCGACTAAAAACAGGGTTTCCAGGGTGATGCACAAAATATACAATGTAACAAATGAAAAAGATTTTAAGTTTAACAAACAAATAAAAGACTTTTTTTTAACAATGGTATTTAACAAGTCTTCAAGTTAAGAAAAAAACGCTTTGTTGAACTTTTTTCGTAGGATTTATATTTTACTGTTCAACGCACCGACGTTTAACTGTATATAAAGACCACAGGGGCGATTACAGAAAGATATAGCCCCACTTAGAAGCTCGTTATCTCGGGAGAATGGGATAGGGGATGTCAAGGCACATAAAAAATAAGTCAGACAGATGAGGCACATAACAAATAAATATTTATATAAATATGCACTTCGTTTGGGTTATCTTTGCTCCGATTTCGACAACCGCACATTCCTTGAATTTTCATGAGTAATTCCAGAACTGGCTGAACGGGCCAAACGAAACGAAACAAAACAATTTAAATGTTCAATTAATTAATTTGCCTGCCCAATCAGTTTAGAAGCTATATACCCAACGTTCTTGTTGTCGATCGCTTATCTTATCTTACGTCCCATTTGGCATCGTGTCTTGATTTCTGTTCAACTTTTATTTCACCATTGGCATTGGCATTGAAGGGTAAGTACCACTTTTCTATTAGGGTACAAGGTTTTAGACATATAAATAGGCTGGGTATAAATGACACAATATTCTCATCTTATGAAAGGGTTTATTTCAAAGTCTATTGCATTCACAAATAATTCTTATACTTTTCTAAGCCAGTTATTTGAAGAAAAAGCACGAATTTTTGAATCTGTTTTAAATGCCTATCTACATGATCTATTTTTTCTCTCTTTAAAAAAAACTTCCTGCATAGTATGGTCAATTAGTCCGCTGACATTGACGACCACCTGACAACCCTGTTTCTCAGTTTCCCAGTTTCATTTTCAATTTCAGTCTGTAACTCTGCGCAGACAGCTGAAAAAAGGAAGATAAAAAAACTTTAACGAGCAAGCGCAACAAGTTTAGCAAACCTATGGCGCTGTTTTTTTTTTTATTTTATTTTTTGACCAACTTCATCGCTTACGGCATCGCTGCGACTGCGGATACGGTTGCTGCCTCCTGCTCAAGCTTTTGATTTTGCTTTGCCTTTGGCTTGCACCAAGTACCATAAATAAGATCCAAGTTTATGCCTGGTAATTTACGATTTCTTCATTTGAGAGCCTCATAAAAATCCAACAGAGGCCACCCTTGAAATGTATTACTCGCCACAATTACCAAAGGTAAACAAGTAATCTTAATCTTTTACTAAAAAAACCCTGATTAACTGCTACGCAAATGGTCTCTTGCTGTCTTTATAATCATTTAAGAAATATAAATGGCCTTTTTATCGACATAAATTTTTTTTTTTAAATTTTTTTTAAAGTCATAAACTACATATCCAAGATGTTTAACTCTATCGATAATTAATTATAACTCAACTGTGAAACAAATTCGAAATTGTGAATAAGCATGTTTATTGAGCAATATTTAAAGACATGTAATTTATGAGAAATCGAAAGTAAAACGGCAACACACCCAAATTACAAATTATCTTTTCATGCTCTCGTTTAAAAGTGAAAATCGGTATCAGTGAACAAATTTCACTTCCGCAACTAAAAACCCCAAGATAACCTTCAAACTTGTCGTTTCATTTTTTTTTTACGATTATTTGTGTGTCAATTAGTTTTGTTTAATTTTGCACAGCTGTTTTGGGGACGACGACGTCGAATTCATGGTCAAGTTATGACTCCGTTTCGTGAACTGATTTCGCAAAGAGAAGTTCGCATAAACTTGTACATTTGTGGGGTGAGTAATGGGTGATAAAGTTGGGTGGGAAAAGGGGGGTGTGGGCAGAGGAAAGGCGGGAGTCTCGCAACGCTTGATTTTTTCTTTCCTTTTAAACGTGTTCGAAAAGCAACTCCAAGACAATCCTCCTCTCTCTTCGCCCCTCTTTCTTCCGCGTGTGCGGTGCGTTTGTGTAAAAACAAGATTAAGACCCATTTTGGCAGAAGACGGCGACTACGAAGGAGATGGGGAAACCGAAAAGCTAGATCTGCGGTTCGTTTCAAAACTCTTTTTTCCCCCTTTTCTGCTCTTTGCTTTTTGCGCCGTTTTTCCCGAGTTATGTATTAAGTTTTGGTCTCTTTCTATCGCCAAACCTGCCGTCTCTTTCTATTGGAGCTCAACAGCGCAGCGCACATCTCTTTCATTCGTCTAGGTGAGAATTTCCCTTTCGTTTGAAAATGAAAATAAGTTTACTTTTCTTTCAGTCATGCTTTGGCTTATTTTTCTACCTCCTCTTGTTTTCTTCTACTTGTTGCTGGTCGACTCCATACCCCCCTCTTCCCCCCGCTTTCTTTCCAATGTTTCTTGGCACTTGTGTTTTGGTCGCCTGGTTTTTCTGTTTTCCGTTTCATTGTTGCGGTGGGTTAAGACAACAACGGAAGACTAGACAGTGTAGGAAAAGAGAGTGGGGCGGGGGACTCAGTGGGGGATAGACGTTATGGAACCAAGTGCAAAAGAGACTGAGTGCGGGAGTTACGGACTACAGACCTTGAGGTCTTTTTTGCAAAATTTTCGAAATATCAAGTCCGGCACAAAACCCAGCGAAACTTATCGAAATACTGCAGATTAATTACTCATCTTATTTAAACCAAGGGTACTACTTTTAAGTGCAGTTAAAGAAGGTGCAAAGGCTAACCAAATTTAAGTAGTATTTAATTTGATGAAGGAAATAAAATATAACATTAAAGAAGTGCTTTTCTATTTTACCATTTGCTAAGAAAATGTTTCACAAATATTGAAGGGCTAAAAATACTTAATTAAAACTTTTTCTATCTAACGATTTGCAATAAATATACTTGGTTTTTGTTTAAGAAGATTTTGTAACCATCCGTTCGAAGATTTTGATGCATTTTAAAAACCTACCAGAATTCAGTTCTTAAAGATACGATTTTACGATTTGCAGATTATCCCATTAAATGAATTTAAATTTCTTTCAATTTGAAAAACAATTTCCTATGACTCTTCTGTAATCTTTCGTATAGTACTTTTGATTAGTAAGATTAATAAGTATTAAGATCTGCCATTTCGGTTCTGGGGCGTTTTGATGTTACTTGTTTTGACAAACTTCAGCTTACATATGGAAAGATATAGTTATGCAGATGTGTATATATCGTATCGAGTGTGTGTTTCAGGTCTTGGCTGACGGGGCTGTTAGGTAAGATCGGCGATTGTTGTTGCTGCTTACTTGTTTGTGTCTCATAAACACGTTCACACAGATACACCGGACTTGTTGTGAGTGTGTGCGAGATGCTGAAGACCTGCTGTTGTTGGTTTGTTTTTTTTTTTTTTGTATTTTTTCGGTTGGACTAACTGGTTTATAAAGCCGTACCAATAAAAGCAACAACACCGCGATGACGACGACGCAATATCCATAACCTCGATGAGCTAACACCAATACAATGGTAGAAATAAAATTAACAAAAAAAAAAAACGAATAACGAAACACACACCCAGACAATCTTTATTCTGTTCATATATATGCGAATTGAAAATGAATACAAAGTTATTATTGAGTGTTATTTATAATACCTGAACAACCTGCACGAACCGCTAAAAAGAGATGGAAAGAGGCAAGGGGGCGTGGCGCCTTTATATACTACCTATCTCTACAGCGGCGGATCAAAAATTAGTACTTAAACTTGGCCAACTGAAATCGTTATAAAAAATTAACAATTTTTTAAGAATTTTTTATAACCAATTCATTATTGACTCTCACAAAATCCTATTTGACAAAGAATATTTTATGATCGTCAAATAAATATTTAATATATAAGTTCCGTTTTATTTACCACTATTATTTTGCCCGCCATTGTATATGTATATTCGCATCTATTAATCGCCTGGTGGAATAACATTAGCAATTAAAGCGAGGTATTTACATTTAGTTAGG